ATATCATAAGCCGTTTTGTACACCGTGTCTCTGATGTTTATCCAGTCTTGTTCTACGTCTTCTGCTGAATTGAGGTCCTCGAGTGCAGATGTCATATTCAAAGATAGTTTCTTTGCTATGTCTGGTTGTTTAAGTTTGTTGACTGCAAGGTGTTTCTTAATGGTATGGCCTTGTGGCCTTCTCTGGCGTTGAATTATGATTTTCATCTTGGAGACAACTAGACGGTGGTCGGTCCAGCAGTCTGCACCACACATCGACTTTGTAACAAGGACGTCAGCTCTGTCACGTAATCGCACGATAACATGGTCGAGCTGATGCCAGTGCTTGGATCTTGGGTGCATCCAGGTTGTTTTGTTTCAGAATGGCAGGCGAAAGACTGTACTCGAGAGTAAGAGATTATGTTCCATACAGGTCTTTAATAGGAGTAGTCCATTACTATTGCATTTACCAATCTTCGCGTCGTTCACTGGCCTCCCGCCCTATGTAGTAGATAGTGTATCCAGCGCCAAGTTCTTGGATTTGGCCTTCATTAGCATATCGAGTTTTGCTAAGCGCAGCAATGTCTATATTGTATCTGGCAAGTTCTTTTCCTACTAAAGCTGTCCGCCTTGCGGGTCTATTACTGCTGTCCCGATCAAGTAGAGTTCGAACATTCCAAGTTGCAAACTTGAGTTTTGTCTCTTTTTTGAATTTCTTATATCTTTTTTCTCTCGTTTTGCGACCGCTGAGTGGGATCCCCTTCAGGCGCGGTGACCTGACCAGGGTTGTTTGAAACAAGCAATTTTTTGAGCACCTTTTCTAGCTCCTTCCTCATGCAGTGGAGGTGAGCAGTGCGATCCTGAAGAGGGCTGCTCAGACACCTATGCGACTGCCGAATCCTACATCCGTTTCGAGTATGCAGAAAGCGACCATATAACATAGGCCGCCTGTGTGTAGGCTTGCAGCTCACAGCTTCCAGTGTATCCTGCTACTTCACTGCTCCCCCATCGCCACAGGACTTTTTTTGGTGATCATGACTTGCGCGTTAATTGATTTAAGTGAAGGAGGTGTGCGCATAATCCAACCTCACTCTCTCGTTCAGACATGAGTTGTCCAGGGGCACAGCTTGGCTGAGACGACTTGGCTCAAGTTGAATGCAGGAGTTGCCGGGACCGTTGTTGCTAACAATCGGGACCGCCTAGGGGACTCCACTCCCGTTTTGAAAAGTTTACTCTTTTGGTTGACATATGGCCGCTTCTAGAAATATTCCAGGCGCCCTTCTTGTCGTTGACAAGGGGTGCATGCCCACCCATCGCCCTTCCACTATCAGTCTCTCAGCTGCGAGGCCAAGGTTAACAGGTAGCACCATAGGTAGGTTGTGGATAGGACTTGGATATGAGAGGCTATAAATCCTAGTTGGACTTACTAATGCCAACTTTCCAGTCAGAGAGTGAGATTGAATATTTAGATAAGGGCAGATAGAGTAGAGGAGAGAAGTAACAGGAATCAAGGAAGCAAGGATGGTAGTTGTTAGGGTACTGGCTAGGATACATGAACACACGTGAGACGCATCATAACCATTTGTTATATATACATTGATTGATATAAATTGATTATGTAAGCGGTAGATTACTGGCGGTGCTTTTGAGCCAGCTTAATACTAAGACTTAATTGCTAGTGACTAAACTACAGTACACAATACTGTACTGTAATTAAACAGGTAATAAAATACAGTGAGATTTATATAAGGTCCTATATAATTTATACAATTGTGGAATAGAAAAATTAATGTAGGAATATAATAGTAGTTCTATATGTATAATGCATGATATGATGACTATTAAATACAGTTTAGAAATCAAGGAACATAATATAATGTACATATATAATTAGATACTTTATTCATAGTGAATTGTTGCG